TTCTACATTGGACAAGTTTTCTTGCTCTTTTCAGATAGGAAAACATAAAAAAAATATTTAATAATTTTTATAGTAGGTTTTGTTTGATGTAATTAATATATATTATAATATGTTATAATATGTTATAATATATAACATTATAACTCAAATTAGGATATGATGTGATATTCATCACCTGACTTTGCATTAGTGCATTTGCCTCCATTCACTGCAATCCTAGTCCCCTTCTAAATAGCTTACGTGTGTTCCTCAAAAACTAATGGTTGCCATTCACTGATGTTGTGTCATCCACTCTTCTTGTGGACACATTCAAGAGGAACAAGATAGAAGTGTATAGAGGTTGTCCTTGACTTACAACCATTCATTTGGCAACCATTTGAAGTTACAATAGCACTGAGGAAAGTGACTTATTATCAGTCCTCACGCTTATGACTGTTGCAGTTATATTCCGGCACAGCAACCAACCTGCATTTATGATGTTTGCAGCATCTTGGAGTCATGTGATTGCCATTTGCAACCTTCCCAGCCAGCTTATCACAAGCAAAGTCACTGAGAAAAGCCATGTTTCTTAATGACCGTGCTTAACAGTGGCAGTGATTCACTTAACAACGGTAGCAAAAAAAGGTTGTAAAATCTTACTTAACAACCATCTTGTTTAGTAACAGAAATTCTGGTTCCAATTGTAGTTGTAAGGACTACCTACATTTCATGTCTGTCTGTCTGTCTGTCTGTCCGTCCATCCATCCATCCATCCATCCATCCATCCATCCATCCATCCATCCATCCATCCATCTATCTATCTATCTATCTATCTATCTATCTATCTATCTATCTATCTATCTATCTATCTATCTAATTTATACTTCTACCTATTCGTCCATAACAACTCAAGGCAGCTTACAGAATATAAAACCACATTTAAAACAATAAAACTGATAAAAAGAATCAAATAAATTAATACAGTATAATATAATAAAATCACCCCCCACTCCCTGCCCTGGTGACAGCAGATCACATGAGCCATTTAATTGGCCCCATCCCACTCTGGGTTCCCCAGGCCTACTGGCAGAACCAGGTCTTCAGCACCTTCTGGAAGAGTATTAGAGGAGCGGCCATTCTAATCTTTGGGGGAATGATATTCCAGAGAGAGGGAGGCACCACGGAGAAGGCCCTTCTTCTGAATCCAACCAGGTGTATCTCCCTCGGAGCTGGGACCCGCAGCATTCCCTGCCTCCCCACTCTGATGGGTCAGGTCGATGTGATCGGCAAGAGATGGTCCTTCAGATAACCTGGTCCCAAGCCATGAAGGGCTTTAAAGGTGACAATCAGCACTTTGAGTTGCACCCATAAGCAAATCGGCATCCAATGCAGCTCCCGCAGGAGTGGTGATACATGTGCACACCAGGGTCTGCAGAAATTTGGGCCGCTACATTTTGCACCAACTGGAGCTTCCGTATGCTCTTCAAGGGCAGCCCCATGTAGAGCGTGTTGCAATAGTCAAGATGAGAAGTGACTAGGGCATGAGTGAATGTGAGTAGGGATTGTTGGTCCAGGAAAAGGACTATGAATGTTGCTGGATTATGCAAAACTTTTATTAAAAAGCCAATAATTATTCTTTAATTTTATTAAGTTAAGGAATACAGGTTCAGATAAAAAGGATAATCGCAGAGATATAAAGTTGGATTTTAAATATAAAGCAGGGAATATTTAGGTATCATTTTTAAACTTGTGTGGAATTCACTTAGAACAAGTAGAAGGGAAAATAATGAAGAATCACAAGTTGTTCAGCATAATTTCTTTGAAGTAACTCCTCCATCTGAGACTTTCTTAAAGGCAGAATTTTAGTTAAGTATATTTTGATGGGGCATCTACCCATATTTTCACATCCAAAACAGTGTTTGCAAAAAAGAGGTGTGTCGTGTTGAAGGTTGATTGCATCAACTTAACATATTGATTTTTTATTGTACTAATCATATTGTAAGCTATCGTGACAAGATTTCAATTTAAAAATCAATCAAATGTGTATTAAATAAGTACTACTCCCTATCTCCATTTCATCAAGGTTTAGTTAGTTTACACAATGTCATGTGGTCTGGTAATTAATCTCTATCATGTTCAATAACCTATGTACAAGGTATCTATACACATTTTATTCAAATAAAATCCTGAATGCAATCACATTGTGGTATGGTCAGAAACTATCATCCTAGATCTTTTATTCCCAAATGAATATCTGGATAGTGCTAGAAAAGAATAAACTATGCCAGTCTTCATCACCTGTGCAGAAAAGCATAAAATTTGTACAGCCAGTACTTGTCAGAATTTGTGGCCTACAGCAACAACTAAACATATCCTTAATGTAATTACTTTAAGTAAGCACATTTGTGTGCAACATTCATACAATTCCAAGCCAAAGTAGATAAAATCTGAACTGGAATGTGCAAAATTTATAAAACACACAACCCTTTTTATTGTCATAATGGTCAAACTCTGACTTCTATAGCTAGCTCTTTGGCTTTCTTAGTTAAATAATTATGGATTATGGAAGTTGACATACTGTTGCCTGAAATAAATTGATGAAAGGAAGGAATTGTGCTTGCTTTTTTTTTCATAGTGTGTCTCTCTCTGCTGGATGCCAATACATATTACATCCCCCCCTCTCTCTCCCTCCCTCCCTTCCTTTCTTTTTCTTCCTTCCTTTCTTCCTTTCTTTGTCTCTCCCCCCCTCTCCCCCCCTCTCCCTCCCTCCCTCCCCTGACCCCAGATGCTAACACAGAATTAAATGCTTACTAAAACTAACTGCCTATACATATTTGAGAAACTCTAAAAAAGGAATAAAATCTGTACATGTTTGTTCTTCATCACTATCCTGCAGGCTGCATACATCTTTGCAGCAAATGCATTCTGGGCACCTTGTATCTGTAGATAAACTTCAGAGCTGCAAGGTTAAGTGGGAAATAGAAATCCAATGACCCCTAGCTGGGTAAGTGAGCTTAACGACTTCGCTAGTGCCATATGTACACAGTGAAGCTGAACATACTCCCTTCTGTGCTACTTAGGAAAAGGGAAGATCAAACCAGGATCTACACTGCATTTTAAAATGAAAGATTAGAAAAACAGGAAAAACACTACCTGAAAGGGTTAATTACTAAATCTCAACAGGGAAGGGCCATGGAGAGAGAAGGGGGGGAGGGACTGAAGGAGAGAGAGAGAGAGGGAGGGAGGGAGGGAGGGAGGAGGAGAGAGAGATAGAGAGACATCTCTAAAGTCACAGATAACACTCTGGTTTGGTGTTTCAGAAGCTTTCTATCACAAAACGCAAGTCAGATGAATTGTTTGCTAAATCCTATTACTCCATGTGGAAAATCTTACATGCAAGTTAACAAGGCTGAAGAGCTGAGGAATGGTGCTGCTGACAGTATATTCCAACATCAGAACACTCTTAGCTCATGAAATGAATGGGGGACTACTGCTTTGCATTCTCAAACCCCTCTCGCTAATATCCAAATTCAAGGAATACACACTATTTTCCTGCATGTAATAAAAATGCCCTTCTAGCCACAAAACAGAGAGGTGGGTGAAAAAATGCTGAGCTTCAAAGACAGGGTCTGCTACCTATCAAGTTTTATTCTACAGAAATCGAGTAAAAACTTTGTGTTGTCACTATGTTTGCTGAAGAACTATTCCCTGGATCTTTGACAGCTGTGCAGTATCTGTTCTTTGCATAAATTACTCTCTTCTAAATCACATCCAGTAATTTTATTGCCACAATATGCAGAAGGCAGATCCTGGTGCATGCATAGTTTCCATAACACGGAAGTTTAAATACAGTAGAGCAGATTGCAGTGTAAGGATTTGTTTATTTATATGAATGAGAGGGAGTTTTAATTCAAGATTTAAAGTGACTACGATTTATATAATCTCAATTTGCACAGGCAGTACAAACACCGAGATGCAGCTTCCCATCACCAGCCAGTCAAGTCACACACATATGCACTGAACTTAGCTCTCCTTCTAGGCTTAACAAGGAAAACCCACAGAGCAAGCCGCACAGGCAACTCAGAATCACCTGACAAGAAACCATGCACATTTGAAATTGCAACATTGCACTTAAGCTGTCCAAAGATATTTTTTTTTAACATCATAAATGAATTATGTTGTTAAATGGGTTTTAATCCATTTGTACAAGAGCCAGAACAACTAGCAAATAATTCTCTTAAGTAGTGCGGAAATTTTAGAAGAGTGTGATAATGGAAAGGGAAGAAACCAGGTTACTTCCATAATGACTCTTTTCTCTTGACCTCTCACATTATGTACACTGACTTGAGTCATACAAAACTAAAATCAGGATATAATTCAAATAAATAAATGATGTGGGTGGGTGCTCAAGGCTTTCGTCTGCCATTTAAATGTTGGCAGGAAGGGAAAGACAACTTGGAATATTTCCCCTCTGGCTACTTATTTTCTCCTTCATTTGTCTGGATAATAAACTCACACAGAGGTGTATGGAAGATCAGCAACAGACCCAATAAAAACAGCTCCATCCAAAGCACATTTAGATATATTTTATATAACCATTCAGGAGCTACAGAAGACAAGTTTTTGAAGACTGACCGCAAATCCTACGTACCGCACAACAAACATCATATATTAGCAGAAATTTCTTATTTCTTTTCTATTTATTTTTTTTTTTAAAATAAGCAACAGCCACATGGTTAATATACATCGGGAAGTCTTTTCAATCTTCTGACAAATGTAGGATTTGGGGAAGGGGAGGATGAATTGGATACAATGACCCAAGAAACAGGATGGGGAAATGGGACTTGGGAAACAAACGGGCACGATTAATCAAAATCAATCTCACACGAACACCTTAGCCAAATCCACACGACCAGGAGTACACACACTCGTCCTCCCAACCCCTCCACTCGCAGCCCGGGTCAGGACTTTCAAGCGGGAGACAAGAAGACGGTAAGAAAAGTTGGCCGATCGCCCCCTACCTGAGGATAGCTGTGTCTCCCTGCCTCACCGTGATGTTGTCAGTGCCTCGGTTATAATCCACGCTGCGGACCGGCAGCCCTGTAGGGAGAAGGCAAAGCAGTCTCAGTAGGACCAACGGGAATTGTCTCCGATCGGGCTGAGCCCTTCCCACCATGGCTGGAGTTGCAAAGGATGGACTTTTTTTTTTTTCCTCTCTCTCTCTCTCTCTCTCTCTCTGTCAATCTCTCTCGGTGTTTGGAGGATGGTGAACTTAAACCCAGAAAAGAGAACAGGGAGAGGGCAAGCAGGCGAGAGAGGTACAGTAATATCCGGCCAGCGATCGAAAAACGCACAACTCTGCCTGTCCAGTTGATCAATTCTCTCGGATTCTTGGAGGGGTGAGGGTGGGGGGGATGTCTCCTTCCCGACCTGGTCCTGGCTTCTTTGGACGCTTCTCCTCCCCCAACCCTCTCCCTCCTTTCGATGCCTCGGGTTGGAAAGAGATAATGTCTTGTTGTTTCTCTCGCGCGCTCTTTTTTTTTTTTTTTTTGCTTGTTTAAGTCCCCCCCAGGCAAGCCGGACGGGGATGGAAACGAAGAAAAGAGGCGGTTACACACACGCACACATTTAAAGAAAAAAGAAAAAAAAAAGAGAGGAGGGTAGGGAGCCCGACGGGAGGGGAGCGAGGGGCGGGAGAGACGAAAGCAAACAAATCAAGGCGTCCAAAAGAGCTCCGAAAGGGCAAGCGAGCCCCCTAAGGCGAGAAGCTGCGACTTCGCCTGCCTGCCTGCCTGCCTCCCCCCCCTCCTCCTGCTCCTCCAGCGTGTGGATGGCTTTTGCTAGAGCGAGCGGCGCAGCAGTCTCTGCGCTCGGCTCTCTCCCTAACCCACTTTCCCAGGCGGAGCGAAGGGAGGAGGGAACGGGCGAGCGGCTCAGCGGTGGAGGGAGAGCGGGCGGGGGGGGGGGGGGGGGGGAAAGGGGGTCCCCTCCTTCCCGCCCTCGGGGGAACCCCGCTGCCCACGCGCTCGTCCCCCCCCCCTCCCCACTCCAGGAAGCCACTCGGCCAGCTGCGCCGCGCATCCTTTCTCCCCTGGAGCCGCTGCCTGGTCAGCCTGTCCCGGCCAAACCGCGGATGCTCTTTTAGGTTGTCACGACAACAGCTTCACTGGAGGCACCTCTTTTTTTTTTTTTTTTTTTAGAAAGAGGGGTGGTAGGCCGTTAGTAAAAAAAAAGGGGGGGGGGGGAAGAAACGGGAGGGGTGGCAGAAGGAAGGGTTGGGGGACTGAAAGGAAGGGAGAAAAACAAAAGGCTGTGGGAATTGGGAAGAGAGGGGGGGAAAGGAGGGTATATAAAAAGAGTGAGGTGACATTGGGCAAGTGAGAATGAAGAAGCAAACTGAGACAAATTTCATTCGGTGTTAGTAGCCATACTGTTATTAGATTTCTTCTTCTTGCATTCTGAAAGCCTAGAGCTGTTGCCTTGCTCAGCAGAATTGAACTTCTGTGAGGCATTGGCTGAATATAGGAGTAGCTACAGCATCATGAGGTTAAGTGTGGCTTCCAGTGGCAGGCTTGCCAAGCAGGCTGCTTCTACGTGTGATGGACAGAGGTGTGATGAACAGAGAGTTCAGTCAAGTGCTCGCAATGAGAGAGAGAGAGAGAGCTGCTATAGGATGAAATGGCTGTGTGTGTGTGTGTATTATATTCGTATAAGCTTGGTTTATTCTAAGAGAGGAGAGAGGAAGAGAGGAGAGAGGAGGCAAGCATGCTGGCCCGATCTCAGCTATCTGTAGCTTGCCAGACCATATTATGTGGAGTCCTATATGTGTGACTCTTAGCAGCATTTAAATTGGGAGCTTAAAAGGATTTAGGGATCAACCCTAGGCCAAAAGGACTTGAAACATAGTGAGGTCAGCACCCTAGATGTAAAGGTATAACCCCCATTTCTCCAATTTACTTCCATGCTTATTAACGTCTTTGGCAAATGCGTTTTTGGCTCCAATTTGTTAATCCACACAAGTAGTTTTATTTTTGCGCACAAATCAGTTTATATTATCCATTACCTGTAAGGGACAATTATTTCATAAGACATTTTTTTTAAATATGTTTTGGAAAACATCTCTAAGTAACATCTGAATTCAAAACTTAAAATTGCACTCATCAAATTTCCGTTTTCATTTATTTTATTTTATTTTAATCTTGCATTGGGTCCAAAACAGGATTACTGTCTCTGGGCCCTTAATTTATGCAGACTTCACCAACAGTGCTCTGATATTTATTAGCTAAGAAGAGGCTGTTATATAACTCTGGCTTTAAGATTACACACAGTCTTCAGCCTAATTTATATGGCTATCACCCTCATTTCAAAAGCCTGCTATGGTCAGTATAGGCCACTGACAAAGGTGATTGATTCTTTCTTGACTGTCTGCTGTCTAAAAAGAGTCAGACTAAGGAGAAGATAAAAGAGGAAGACAGTGAAAGAAAGAATATTGTGCTCCCAATTGCTTTGGGTGCCTACTCTACTCACCATGGACAATGTGTCTCTAACAATTTTTTTTCTGTATGAATGTGGTTCTTGCCTGAAATACATTGACCAGTTGATAAAAATGATTCTGAAGTACATGCATACATACATACACACACTTTTTCCTATTGCAGTAACTAATTTTAATGAATAAAATGTGATCTACAAAATGAAATGAATGTTGCAGAAAGTGAAAAAGAAATAGGAAAACTTGGAGCTCTTTCTTCTCCATCCAAATCAGTAGAGCAGTCTTTTTTTTTTCTTTGATGAAAAAATGGAACATTCTTCTGGATAATTGGCATTTCAGGCTCATATATTGCTCTTTTATCCCATATTTTTCTTCTCCAGATAAAACATTCTCTACCAGAACCTCAGACCAGCCATTCCTCCCCCATCTCTCTTCTGGGCCCTTGATGTATGAGGGTCTAATTGGAGCAGAGACAATGGTGGTATTGAGTTGCCTGGAATGTGAATGCTGCATCTGTCCTCCCCAAATGCCAGGATTGGCAGCTGAGCTCCAGTTCATTTCAGCAGATTCACCAACTTGACCCATGAAGCATAAAAAGAGTAGCTAATGTACCATTTGGCTCAATGCACAAGAAAAGAACTTCATAGAGAGTCACATTCATGAAATGGGCATCTATATACATTTGATAAATAAATAAACAAACAAACAGGCAAGCAATCAAAGTTGGTAACTACCTTGGATGATGGTTTAACTAGGTCTGTCATCTTGTTTTCCCATTGCTCATACATATGAGAAATGTATGTTTAATGTTCATGTTGACAATGCTAGTATCTGATCACATTTTGGAGGAAAGCTTTTGAAGGACAAAAGGAGGAATTGGAAAAGTATTTTTTTTTTGTAGGCAAGTGCCTAAAGGAACTGTTGTTACTTCACTCCTGCTACCATATTATGAAGATACTCACTAATCTGTTAATTACTTTTCCTTTTGCAATGGGAAAATCTGTATTGACATTCACTATTCCGTTTTTTCCAGTATTGTGATGTGTTGCTATCATTCAGCAGTGTTCAAGGATGAGATCATTGAAGAATCACCAGTATTCTGTGAATACTGAAAAATTATAAATGGGAAACAATAGGAGATTGTTTCTGTGTGTTATAAAGTAAGACTGAATGTGTGTTAAAATAAGATCTTCATATGCAAGGCTGATTTTACACTAAATCCAGATTGCAGGAGATACAAAACAGGGCAAGCAGTAGTATTGATTTAGCTTTAGTCCTACACAGTGGTTGCTGCTGCTGGATGATGATGCTCACTCACATTCAGATCAATAAGCACACTTAGACTTGAGGCCCAGAAGACCATTGCCATATGTATGCATATGCTTTAGCTGAGTAGACTGTATCCTATTCTTGCATGGAGATATCCTTTATTAAATTGCTGGTTGTTGTTTTTTTAAATATATATAAAAAAATAGTGCTTTCATTTTTTTTTATAAGTATGCAAGTTTTTTAATTATACAAGAACCAAACGTAGATTTATTTATACCTTTTAATGCCACTGGTTAAATAATTGGCCCAAGCAGATGGCAACACCTAGCCTACCGCAGCTAAACCGGATTAATATTTGGCTGGGGGATTGCCAGAAAATCCCACAGTTGTAGACTAGACTGTGAAGTTGAAAAAAAATCAAGAAGATATTTCTTGCTGGCGAGAAAATTACATGAATTACATAAACCTGTGGATTCACAGAGAGTCAACCTCTGTTGAAGGAATCTTTACATGCAGTTTTAAAATTACATCACCCTGTGAAGCTTTATTTGTGTTCTCAGTTAAAAGAGGAGGGAGAGAACGAGGGAGGGAAGACTTCTTATTTTTGGATCTGAATTTTAAAATGAAATGTCCATCAAAATCTAGACTAGAATATATTAGTGGTAATTTCTCACTAACATCATTTTACAGGTTGTTTTTTTTAAAAAATAGAATACATAGAATAAAACTTATCTGACCTTATTGTTTTACTGTAGACATGTTCCCCAAAATCTCCACTAACCATTTCTGATGCTATCAATTCTACCAGGTCTACCATTGATCTTTTAAATTGATTTCTTCAATATATAATAAAACATTGTCTTTTCAATAATCATATTTTAATTTATGTACAATGATTTTTATATTATCCAGTCAAAACAGTCTGAATAGTGTACAGTTGCATATTAACATACATGCATCTTACACTATCAATCCTTATCCACTCTATCTATTTGGGACCTAGTGGAAATGAAATCTAGAAACAACTAGAAAATGTCAAAACTGGCAAGGCTGATCTAATGCTAGAAATTGGAACTTATGGGTATTAGCTTACATTACTTTAATCTTAATATTAAGACTCCATTGCACTGATATGCTTTTGAATAATGAAGCTTTTTCTCCCTTGTCCAAAATGACCTTGACAAGGACAATATTGTACAATAACTCAAAGCTGTAACAAAGCTGAGTATAATCTAAAGCTTCCAATTCTATCAGGCAGTAGTGCATACTTAATTCTATGTAATCATATGAGTTGTTCATTTGTAGTTAATAAGAGTTATTATATGTTAATTAAATACCA